AGATAGATAGATAGATAGATAGATAGATAGATAGATAGAAATATCTGTATGTATGTGTTATAAAATATCACTAAAGCACTAAAGATAAGGATATGTTTTCTCTATTCCTCACAGTGACTATGTTGCACTTCAGTTTTACTGTAATGCTGAAAGTAGCTTTAACATAAAATGATCATAAAATTATGAGAGATAGTTGTTTAATGATTAATTCAGACTTCAATATTACATTGGTAGTTTCAAAGTAAAGGTCATTTTATACATCTGTTTAACAAATGTCAGTTTTGTGACAGTTTCTTAGTTATTTGCTGAGAAGGCAAAAATAAGAAACACAGCAATGTGCTATGTCTAAACAGCATCTTTTGATGGCTTGCTTCTGTGGCTACAGAATGAAAAGGACTCTTCAGTGAGGTTTCAGAGCATAACATGAAATCGAATAAAGAGTTGTCTGCTATTTTTTAAAATCTGTGTTCCTCAAGAACATGAATTCAGATCAGAGGTAAAGTACGTATTTACCTATTTATTTATTTATTTATTTATTTATTTATTTGATACGGGGTCTCACTACACAGCTCAGACACGTAGCGACCCTCCTATCTCAGGCTCCTCAGAGCTAGGATTACAGGTGTGTGCCACAATGCCCCGGTTTCTGTGGCTGGCTCAACACAGGCTGGCACAACATGCAGTACCCGGGATCAAACCCAGGTCCTTGTGCTTGCCAGGCAGGTACTTAGATCACCAAGCCATCTCTCCAGCCCAATATTTATGCTTTAGATGTAACAAACAGAGATTTGAAATTTAAGGGCAGATTTGGGGGTATCCAAAGTTCCATTAGGGAAATTTTTCTGAGTAGACACATTTATACACACTGAGCTCTCCTTTCCATCTGTTAAGTGAGCAATGGATCAGGATGTACTGCTCTGACATGAGCAATGCTCCAACATCCATGGGTCCAAATCACACAGTATCTGTGCACATCCCCTCCCAAAGTCATTTGGAACCTGGAGGAGAGCATTTAATTTCCACTTTCTGATGGCCTATCCATGGAGAAAGCTACATATATCCTTGACTTTTCTGAACATTACTGATATTCTCAAACAGTGCCTTTATGTCCAGGAAGAGAGGATTTCATATATATAATGTACCCTGCCCTATAAATTCAGTTGTTATGAGCAGTAAAGTGAGAAAGGGAAAGAAAAAAAGAAGAAAAAGAAAGAAAGAAAGAAAGAAAGAAAAAAGAAAGAAAGAAAGAAAGAAAGAAAGAAAGAAAGAAAGAAAGAAAGAAAGAAAGAGAAAAGCAAGCAAGCTAACATTCCAGAAACAGAATGTAACTTGTCTCATTATATATCGGTTACTGGTTGTCTATGTTTTGGAAACCATACAAAATTTATTCTACTGAATACTCTTAATAAAGCGTCAATTAATGATAACCACCAACATTTCCCTGCCTTGTAATGAACAAAATGCATATAGTAAAATAATGCATATCATCACACTGATCCATAAAATTATGTCTTAGAGTAATTCAAATGTGTTATCCTATTCTGACTGGTATCAAATAAGTGAGATTTTGTCTTGGATCTGTAAGGGCACTTTGTGGTCAGGCAATACCAACACTGAATTAGTGGGCTTCCATTAATCATAAGAAGAACAGATTGTATAGCACCAAAAGAAACTCACATTGAGATCTTGAAACAGATAACCATTGCCTTTTCTTTAGAAACCAACACCCAACAAAACCAAATCCTTTAATAATGCTATCTGGGTCATGGGGTGAGCGTGAGGTGTGAGGGGAAAGAGGAAAATCAACATGTTTAGAAACTCAAAATTATAAACCATTCTTGCAAAAATTAATTCCAGAAAATGTAGAGAAAGCAAAACTATTATCTCTGGAAAATAGCACCAATCAGTGTCCTCAATGACTTCATCACTGTGCATAAAAGCTAAAGTTTCTTATTCCAGCTAAAAGTGACTGAGAGAAGAATCTAATCTTGTTTTATTTTTTGATAAAATTTTCTGATTTAAATTTTGTGAAAGTATAAGTAAATTATGCAGAGCTGAATTGTAGAATTTTGCTAAAAGGACACTGGGGCTGTGATGACTCCCTATGAGTGCAATGAACTAAAATGTTTGTATCCTCCCAAAGGTCAATGTTGACTTAACCTGTAATATGATAGTATTAGGAAGCCAGGCTTCTGGGAGGTAAGTGAATCATAAAGGTAGAGTACTAATGAATGAGATTCGTTCCCTTATAAAAGGGACTCAAGAGAATGTTCTTTCCACAATGTAAAGAAAAAAGAAGTGAACAGTCTGTAACCTTTATAGAGCCATCACCAGAATCTGATTTTACAGACATCCTCAGAATTCAACTTCTAAAACAATGCAGACTAACTTTCTGCTGTTTGTGATCCACTTAATCTATGCTATTTTCTTATAGAAATCTGACCTGATTAAGATAGGGTGCCAAGCGGGAGCTCTTCCTCAGTGGACCAATTGTCACATTCTTCAGTACCTTTGAATTATGTCTATTTAAATATTGAAATCTTTGATCTGGGGTTGACAACTTTAGATCTGGTATGTTTTGATAAATATACTTTATTGAAGCACAGCCACAACAATTTGCTCACTACTGTTATGGCTATTTCCATGCCAAAAGGACAGAATTGAGTAGGTGTGACAGTACCTAAACTCTCATTTCCCTTTTCTGTTTGCCAATATCTATCTCATTGAGTGGAATGAGAATTTCTTCTTTGACATCAGCTTGACAGGGCTCCAAAATATGTTTGTAGTTTTACATCAAAGCCATAATTGACAAAAATAAAATATATTTTTCAAAGCCAAAAGAAGCTTGTCATTACATCAAAAGCTAGGAAGTAAAACAAAAAATGCATGATACACATCACTTTTCTAACCATGCAGTTCAATCTGTCTTACAGATCAGGATAGGCTGTTGATGTTACCTTTCAGCAGTGATTTCAAAACTGTTGTTAGGAAATATGAAAAAGAAGACACTGAATAAGTGGCCAGGAAGCACTTAAAGCAGCCCACGGACTAAAAACTTTGAGTTACTATTAAAGACAAAGGAAAACAGGATATCCATGTCTTCCATTTTCATTTCCTTAAGTTTAGCTTATTCTTGCATCAATGAAAATCAAAAAAGTATATATTTACATTTTTGATGAGAGTATGATGCAATGAAGAGATTTAATCAAAGCAAATTAGGAGTCTAATTAATGCAATCAGCATTAGGTCGTGCAAGTGTTGTCATTGAATGCCATCGTGCAAGGCTGGTGACAGTGATTTGGGCTACTGGAAGCTTTGTCCCTCTCTTATAAGAATATAAACAAGAGGGAGAGACAGAAACTGAATGCCAAGTCCAGAGTTGGATTATTGTTCCTATGCTTAACATTTCTTATGAGTCTTTTAATAACCCTATCAAAAGTATCTGTTTTAGGGACTGGGAAATGTAGCTTAGTGGTATAAGGGCAAGACTGACAAGCCCAAGACCCTAACTTTGATTCCCAGTACAAAAAAGAAAAAAAAAGAAGAAAAATGTATCTTTTTGAGGTAAATTCTCAAAGCTTTATTATTTTATTCTGTCAAAGTTCAGAAGCCTGCCTTCTGGACAGTGCTATTTCATGGTAATATTGAATTGGGTAGTGGATATGCATTATGTTTAATTTTGTAAGTGAAAATGAGTACTAAAAGGTGAATTAATTCTTTTTAGGTTTATGGCTATTACAAAGTACAGTCATTTATTAAACATGATCTTAGTAGACTAACAGGAAAATTCATAGAAAGAGAAAACCATATTTTTCACTTCTCCATAGAATTATTTTCATTGTTTTATGTTTTTGGTTTATAAAGCATCAGCCACCATAATAACTGATCAAGCTCAACAATATTTTATTTTGGTCTCATCCAGTCATATGGCTGGATAATTTATATAATACTTCAGATTAGAACCAGCCAATTGATTAAGGATTTAAAATAAATCATACCAGGAAAACATTTTAGCCAAAATGTATTGTCCTCCAAGCTTTAGTACTGTGTGCAGTAAATCTAATAGACATGTCACAGGCAATATGAGCATGACTTTTATAAGGAGTCTTGGTGGATTTCTTTTTCCTTTTTCCTTTCCGGCAGTGTTAGGGATTGAATCCAGGGCCTTGTACATCCTAGATTAACTTTATATTGAGCTACTTTCCCAGTCCATGAGGATTTTATAGTATCTGAATTTTTTTTCAAATTTATGACAGATGTCCAAATAAGCACTATAATGAGCTTTAATTTGGTTGTTTTCGTTGTATTTTATTGAAAAATCATGAGTGTGAAGCAATTGCCAAGAAATTGTTTTATGTCCAAAACAATTGTGAGTGTGCATATGCATTTGTGCATATGTGTGTGTTCTTATAAATTCAGCCCATTGACTTTTATCTTAAATCTCCATCATAGGAAATATTGACCATATTAAAATGACCTTCATATATAAAAGACCAGAAACAGCATTTATCAAATTTTGGAATTTATATTTATAAAATATTGAAGATGTTTGTGTTTAAGTACTCAATTATATACCATGCTCTTTGCTGATAATTCTATTGATAACCATACATCAAATATCTTCAAACTTTCTCTAGTATAAGAGATTAAAGATCCTTAAATTTTAAGTAATGATTATGTGATAAAGTTTGTCCAAATGAAGAAATATGAATTATTCCTTTTTAAGTGTGATAAAAGCCGGACATTGGCACTCAGTAGGTGTCACACAAATAGGCAACAATGCTCTTTAGTCCCATATCCCATTCCTTCACACGATGGCTTCAATGCTCAGCCCCACTCACCATTGTAGTTTCTGCTATTGACCCAAAGCTGTTGATAAATATGTTGCAGGTAACATTTACAGGAGGCCCTGCAAGTTGAACAATAGAAAATTTGACAGGTTGTGTTCATGGCATAATTGAGTCACGTTTTTCTCTTGCCAATGGCATTGTAGCACTTACCATGGTGGTCTCTGTGACTGATCCAAAACTGTTGATAAAAATATTGCAAGTAACGTTTACTGGAGGACCTGCAGAATGCAATAAGAATATTGCAATAGGCATTGCAGCAAAAATAAAGCTCCATCAACATTAGTGCAAATGGCTAGAGAGGTAAATAAAATAGTGGTGAGAGAGCAACAAATGGTTTTGCACAGAGGTGCATGACAATAATCTTTGCACTAGTATTTTGGGTAATGATGGCTAGAAAATGGTAACTTACCCTGAAAAATTTTGAATTTGGAAGATACAAGTCATGATGATTTACCTAAATTCATTAGCATAGTTTGCTATTATCATAACCCTTTGATTGGATGGCTTTCTCTGACCTTAGGATCAATACCCCAAGTGTCAACTGTGAGCAATGAAATAGCTTGGTTCATGAAGTCAAATTGGAGCTGCATTTTGCATTATGGATGGGTCAGGATCATCCATGGCCTTTCATTTGCCAACTTTTAAATTAATATATTGCTTTGATTCTGTTGACACCTCTGAATTTACTCCCTTTTACTTAAATTGTGACCTAAATGAAAAATTATGCATAGAAATACAGAACAAAGAAAATAAGACAAACACAAACAATGTCATTTAATGTTTGTACTGTTGCCTGAGTAAATGCAGTGTAAAGCAATGATTATTACATTTTAGATATGCTTTGAATAGAGTCTGTTTCTCTCTCCAGAGACCCAAGGACCAGGATGATTATAGCCTGCTTTTCCTCTCACCTTCTTTCATCAACAAGTGAATCAAGGATGATTCTCTGCTTCATGGAAATATGTTTATTGCCTACATGGAGTTTTCTCCTAATGTTTTGTAAGGTTAAAAAAAATATTGCCACAAACCATCTATTTACTCACTGCTTTTTCTTGTGGGAATTTGTCCTTCTTCATTCAATAAAAACACAGCAGACCAGTGTAAGCAACACCCTAGTTGGCTCTCTACCAAACCAGCTGGTGGAATTTGAATGAAGAGGAGTTTGGCTTAAGGCTTCCCATAAAGGCTGGTAGTAAAAACACAAGTTGTAACCATAAAATGTTTTTAAACTGTTCAAGTCCAAGTTTTGTTCTTAGAATGGGAGAAGGAAACTTGGGATAAAAACTACATAACTACAAAGAAAAAAATATGCAGGAAAGATTTTCTGGTAAACAAAGAAGTAAAGTATTATAGTAAAATACATGTTAGTTGTTCTTCTTTACAATTCAATTCACTTTATTTTAATTTATATTTTTAAGTGCAGGCATAGAATCAGAGGCTGTCTTTTAGCATCTGCCAAGATTTTTTTTTCTCCATTTTCACTTCCTATCTGATTGATTTTGCTTTTGTGTTTCTGTTACTGAAAAGAAAAAAGGGAAATGAATCTCTTTCTTGGTCATACAATGCTTTTCTATTAAAACAATGTTTTTCTTCTAATAAGAAATAAATTAAACAAGATAGAGGCAAGTAAAGAGGAATTGCATATATTATCTTTCACTTCTCCCTCCACAAAGAAATATTTCTTTTTGGATCAAGTAAGAATTGAAAATATTTCAAAATTTTTACATACTAGATGAAAGTGAATAATAAAAAGAAAGAATGAGAAAAAAAGGGAAATGTCATTTTAGCATCCTTATCCAAATCACTTCAAAATATCATCACATTTTAACAGCAGGAACTTGAAAATTTCAACCTTGCTTTTCTTGTGTTGTACATTATCTGTTTGACTGATTCAATTGCCTTGGAAGCATTTAGTAGGCTGGGTCATACCATTACTTGTTTGTTTTTATGCATTCTAGAAGTAAGTGGCAGTGTGAGTATATAGTAATATTCAAAATATTTTTAAGCTATCATGTCTTGACACACTGTTTTAAGCACATTAAAATTTCTAATTAAATCATCAAAAAAGGGGAATCTTTTTCATTACTGCTCTAGGTAATGTGTACTGGTGAAAAAACTAGAAGTTATAGGAGTTAAGTACTTCCTTAAAGTTCTACTGGAATAATTAGAAAAGTAGAGTGCCATTTTTTCCAGCACCATTTGTTAAAGAGGCTATCTTTCTTCCAGTGAGTATGTTTGGCCCTTTCCATTGATCCTCAGGTCTATTTTGCTGCCAATACCATGCTGATTTTATCACAGTAGCCTTGCAGTATAATTTCAAGTCAGGAATTGTAATGCCTCCTGCCTTGTCTTTATTGCCCAGGATTGCCTTTGCTATTCTAGGTCATTTCTGGTTCCAAATAAATTTTAGGAACGATTTCTCTGGGTCTGTGAGGTATGTTGGTAGTAGTTTGATAGGGATTGCATTAAATTTGTACAGCAATTTTAGGAGTATGGCCATCTTCACAATGTTGGTTCTTCCTATCCAGGAGCATGGAATATCTCATCCACATGGCTGACACTGACAAAGGATCTAAAATCTGAGGTACAAGATCTCAGGATAAATCCTGAGGGGATTTGACTGACCTTATCAGACCCAAAAACTACAACTTTTGTTGCATAGGTCTTGCTTTATCTTGGTCTTAACCATCCAGATGAAAAGTATAAAAACAAAATATAAGAAGTAAAGCCATGCTTATGTTGAGCTGTGGGGGACTCAGGTCAACAATTTCTAACACTGCCAGTCAAGTGGAAGACCCAATACTATTATGGACTACTGGACTCTTTTAGAATATTTTGCTGAGTTTACACACCTATAATATTCAAATAATGGAACTTAACAAAAAAGGGGATACAGATGAATGTCCATTTTGTATCTATGTATTGAAAGTTGTTAGGATAGATATATAGTTACATTCTCTTAATGAATAGAGGGATTTGTTCTAATGTTTGTAAATAGGATATCATGTCCGCATCTTGTACAGCAATTAACCACTAGGAAGAATGTATGCAATGTGTTAATTATTGAAACTGTCCTACCAATTTGGTTTGAAACTGTCTCATTGCGATTTTTTCTCAATAAAATTATAGAAAAAAGTAAAATATATGTTATAAAAAAGTTAGAAAAGTGAGGATAAATTTATTATATTGATTTCACAAACCTAAACTTACAACTAATTTAATGCACTGCCTTCATTGTGCAATCTCTTCTCTGCTTTGTGATCTGTCGCTTACATTTCTTAATCCTTTATGTAGGACCTCTGTAATGATTGACACTTTTTTTAAGGTTCATCTGCACTTGTATATAAAACCTTGGAATGAAAACAGTAAGCTGTGTTTATGTGGTAGATTAGCACATACGTATACCAGAAGGGACACAAATTAAAATCTCACTGTGTGCCAATGTGTGTCTTCTTTCACTCCACAATAATTAAGGAGTATCATGACCTGCATTTTATACATGAGTAAGACTGAGACACAAAGGTGGTTAACTGATTTTTCCAAGAACACAGAGTTTGTAAGAAGCAGGAATTGCCTAACTTGAAGGATACTTTTAACTCCAGGGTAAAATTTCCAAGACCAACAAAATTACCCTCATAGTAGAAGTTACTTAAATAGGGGGCCTGACCTGCAGGGTCTTCCCAGTGAGTAATAGAACTGTGTCCTGTGTTATGCTAATGTGTGCTAGTGCAGCAGTGTTTTGGCCTAAAGTCCTAGTCAGTTTCCTCATGGCTGACAGGTCACTCCCTTCCCCCACCTCGCCCCATGCCCTGTACCCACAACTGAAAGGAGAGGCTTATTTTGGCTCAAGGTTTAGTCTGCTGGCTCCAACGCCAGATAGCCTGACAGAGGGGCTTAGCAGAGGAGAAGCTGCTCAAGGCATGGCCTTCCATAAGCATAGTGATGGAGGAGCTGACAAGGGAGATACACCCTTCCCAGTCACACTCCCAGAGATTCTTCTCTTCTGACCACATACCACTTTCTAAAAACAAGTGCAAGTCCACTATAATGCCCCCATAATGCAATCCTTCCTACAGCCATGCCTACGGGCCCTGAGGCCCTTGGGAGACAGCTAGATGTAGAGGAAACATCCAGCAATCTGTTCAAGTATTCTGATTAACAAGAACATGTACTTAGACATGATCCCAAGTGAATAAATGTATTCGGTGAAATGTAGAAATAGTTTGTCTCAGTTAACCCTCTCTAATTGAGTTTTTGCAAAGTAATGTTTTTCCAAGTTCAGTTGAATGAGAATTTGACTAGGAAAAAAATGTGAACATCTACTATCTCATATTATTATCCTTTCCTTCCTCCTTTGCTACTGTGTCTCTCCTTCCCACTTCTCCTCCCTTCTTTCCTGTTTCCCTTATTTTCTTCCTCTGTTCTTCCTTTGTATTTTTATTTTGTTGTGAGATAGAGTGATCTTCCCATAACTAAACTGAAGCGAGTTGCACTGAATCTATAGATCATTTTGAGTAGTATGGACATCCTAAAAATTTTTAGTTTTCCTACTCATGAACATAAAATATCTTTTTACATTTGGGTCCTTCATTAAATTATTCTCAGCAGTTTTTTCACTTATTTAATTTATTCCTAGGTATTTTATTCTTTTAGATAGTATTATAATTGGAATTGATTTTCTTAATTCCATTTTCAGATTATTCATCACAACCATATAAAACACAACTGACTTCAACTTTCCTGACTTCACTTATTAGATCTAATAATTTTTTGGATTCTTTGGAATTTTCTGTTTGACCACGTGATTTATAAATATAAATAGTTTTCCTTTTGAATTTGGATGCCTTACTTTGCCTTTTCTTGTTTAATTTCTCTGGATAAAACCTCCAATGCAATACTGAACAGCATTGATGAGAATAAATAAATCCTTGCTCTTGATCTTATCAGAGAAAGTTTTCAGTCATTATTATTAAGTATTCCTCTTATAGATAGTTAATAGGTAGATCACATTATTAGCTATGGGTCTTCATAAATGTCCTTTATGATGACTGAGATGTTCCCTTTTGTTATGTGTTTAATCAATCTGTTGTTTAATCATGAAAAGATGTTCAACTTGTTAAATGCTATTCTTCCTCAACTGAGGTGATTATATTTTTTCTTCATTCTAATAATGTGGTA